ACCATCCTCCATTCTGCGATGTAATGTAACCATCTTCCATTTTGTCGTGATGCCAGCTTTCACATGAGGACCTGGTTCTTGGGTTCCAGCAGGGTGACCAGTGTGCAGTGGGTATATTTACTGAAGAGTGTGAACCAAGTTCATTTTAAAAATACGGCTGCTTTCCATGTTCATGTTCTCCCAGGAATGCGCTATAAACGGAGAGGCGTTGATAAAAATGGAAACGTTGCAAATTACGTGGAGACTGAGCAGTTAATTCACGTTCATAATCACACCCTATCATTTATTCAAACACGAGGCTCAGTGCCTGTGTTTTGGAGCCAGGTTGGATATCGATATAACCCAAGGCCTCGACTGGACAAAAGTAAGGATGCCAATTACTTTGTTTTCTAATGATAATTCCATAGAAAGTATTCCTTTCTTTTTAGGTACTTGATAGGTTTGCTTTGATAGATAACGTCATTCAAAGCAATAATTCATATCAGATTTAATTGAGCATGATTATTAATTACAGGGACAATAATGGTTGTAGATTATTTAAGTGTTTGCTTAACAATAAACTAAAATTCACCAACAATAGAGCATAGTTTATTTCACAGATTACTAAAATTGCTGTTGCTTTGAAGAATACCTTATTTTGAATGCTTAATTTTGGAAAGGGAAAATGTACCCATTATTTGTAGAAGCAGGAAATACTGTAGCAAAATGGCACTTACCAAAAATAGATAAATGTCTCTCTACGAAGGTATGAAGGTTTTTGCTTTTTTTTTTTTTATGAGACTTCATTTCTTCTAGTATTGTAATTTTGCACGCTCGTAGCTAAGTCAATTAAACCTGTTAGATTACCAAATGAAGTTAACTTTTAAAGCTTGCTTTTAAAATATTTTTATTTCACCATGTAATTTGTATTCTTTGAGAATTCAGTGACTTCCATTAGGAAAAAATCTTTTAGAGAGGTTTTTGTTCCTTTATTTTAAACTATATGAAGTCCTTACTGAGTAGGTTAGATATATAAATAAGAAACTGGCTTCATAGTGTGTACTTTCAGTGAGGTTTCAATTCCATCTTCATGTTTATAAAAGATCAGATGTTTCTAAAAGATCAGAGCTCTTTGGCTTGAGACCATCTGAGTTCTGACATTGGAGCTGTCGCTCAGGTGTTCACCAGCAGGACTCCAGTGGGACAGACACTCCTGTCTGTCTTAAACCTGAGATGCAAACAGACTCTGTCTCACTTCTTTGTAGGCGAAAAGGAGACTGTTGCCTGTTTCTGTGCCCATTTCGAAGAACAACTGAAAATTTACAAAAAACAGGTGGGCTGTGATTTGTAGCAGTAAAATGTATCTGCATATTAAGAAATGGTTGTGTGTCTGTTTCTTTCCATTCCATGAAAATAGCAATGTCTTATTTGCAATGAAGCTGAGCAGCACTTATCATGATGTGAAAGGTGCATAAAAGCTATGAATATTCCTAACACTCCTTAAAGATAACATGGAGTTAGCTTCTTGGGACTCTATTTGGCTAAGACACAGAGATTGGACTACCAGGGAAGAATGATCACAATCCACAGAGGATGTAGTCTAAGAAAGGGAAGGCATCTCTCGGCACCTCCAGAGATCAGTTTAGTGTGTATCTTTCATGATCTCTGTGAAGGGCCCAGCCTTCACGTGTGTTCATGCACTCACATACCGGGTGAGCTCATGTAAGGCCAACCAATGGGAAACTTACAAAAATGCCATTTCCATACGATGACCAGGTTTCAGATAGAAGGTTAATACGTAGCAATTAGCTGTCCTATCATTACCGATGACCGTCTGGATGTGTAATGCCATGGGAGGTGTTTTAATAAGAATAAAATCTGAAAAAACAACCTGGAGTTTCATAAACTTAGAAAATGGTTTCACAAGAGAACTTCAAAAGGTTTTGGGGAAAATTGGATTAAAAGGTCATAGAATTTTCCCACAAACTGTTTGAAGTCCCCTTTGTGTAGCTTTGTGTGTGTGTGTGTGTGTGTAAGAATAAGGGAAGAACAGAGAAGGAACCCTGAGTTAATGGAAAGGTGTTGTTGTCAGGTGCCAGCAAGTCAGTTCTGACTCGCAGCGACCCTGTGTACAACAGAAGGACACACTGCCCAGTCCTGCGCCACCCTCACCACCATTGTCTTGTGCGAGCCCAGTATTGCTGCCACCCTGTCAGTCCCTCTTGTCTAAAGCCTTCCTCTTTTTTGCTGACCCTAGAGAGAAAAATATTTTATTCCTAGATGGGAAGACTGAATGTTGAATAGATTTTAATTTTAATTAAATTTTAATTTTAATTTTTTAAATTAATATATAAATTCAGCAAGATCCCAAACAACGTCCGCCCCAAAAACACTCAGCTAGAAAGGCAGGTGGGTGAAGTTTGAGACAAGCAATAAAGGCGGCAGAAGAACTCTCCTATGCGGCTGCTGGGACTTTCTCTGCGGCTGCTGGGACTTTCTCTGGCCTCAACCACGTCCACGTCTCTCCATTGCTTCAGGCTTCTTTGGTCAATTTCAGCAAAATTGCATGATGTTGGACATCTAAGTCTTATACATGTCTTCGTAAATTCTAGATGTTCTTCATGCTTGGGTATTATAAAGGATCTCACTATGTATTTGAATGGGTCATTGCTAATGAATAGAAAAGCTATCAACGCCGTTGATGTCAGCAGTTCTCATCAACCTGAATGTAAGAGATGAAAGCTCATTTTCTTTGGAAAGGAGATGGAGACCCGAATGGACTGGTTCCTGGGAGCTATAAAAGGCTTCTGAAACTCAATCCCAAGTGGGTCGTTTTAAAATTCGCATTAAGAGCCTACCATCTGATTAAACTTAATTTCTTTCTTCTGTCCCACCCCCACCACTCTCACAGGTTATCATTAACTTGGTGGACCAGACAGGGAGAGAGAAAGTCATCGGTGACGCATACCTGAAGCAAGTGTTACTCTTCAACAACTCCCACCTCACTTACGTTTCCTTTGATTTCCACGAGCACTGGTAAGGTGGTTTCCAGAAAGCTCAGTTTCCCTCAGCCCCGGCGCTTGTGGCAGACGCTGCGACAGGGACCTTAGCTTTTCCTCCGTCTCCTGAGACGGGAAATGCCTTCCACTCCTCAGGGGCAGAAAGAGACAGAATACATCCTGGTTTTATTTTTACACCCCCCCCCAAAAAAGAATAAATGATCCTTGAAATCTTGACACCTTTCTGTTCTAGAGACTTGAAGACTCAATCTCCCTTTCCCGCTTTTTCCCAGCCCTCTTGTTGAAGGACCTCTGGAGGGGTTTCTCCCTGCTGCGGTCCGCCATGGAGGAGTGTGGGCGCACTGTCGGCCAGGTCTCCTCTTGCCCAGTGGGGCAGCCTCCATAGAGCTGGCTCTGGACAATGGCAACAAGCATGCTGTTCACTTAGAACTGCCCACATCACTTAGAACTGGGGTTCATAAAAAAATAATAAATAGATTTTAAAAAATAACTGGGGTTCACTTTGACAGCAGAGTTCTTTGTCATAATCCTGGCTTTAACTTGGGGTGATTTTCCAACATGTTGGGGGCAGTGACGGAACCAGGGGAAAAAAAGCTTCTGCTATCTGTGATAATATGTTTCAACGTATTCCTTTAAAAAGGAAATAGTTGTATTGACCTCTCATTCACAAGTCACGTGACCCAGTAGCTCCACCAAGTTAGGAAGAGTTGTGCAGTCACCCCGCAGTCCGCCCTAGAACATGTTCTTCTCTCTTGTGTTCCCCACCACCCCCACCACCCCCACCCGCAGCACCCCAGGTGTTCTCCTCCCACGTCTGCGCCCCGGCCCCTTGCAGGGCCTGTCTCTGTGGGGGGTCCGAGCCCTCGCCCAGAGTGCAGGAGACGCCCTAGAGACACAGGCTCCGCTTCCTCCCTCTCAGCCGCTGGTGCTCACGTCTCAGGCTTCTAGCCAGAGTTTGCGTGAGTTTTTACAAGGTACTTCAATAGTATCGCTGCCTACGTTGTTAACAATCCGCGATGATGATCGAGCTCTTTCCTTTCTCTTGGCGTGGATGCCAGCCGAGGAATGAAGTTTGAGAATGTGCAGACGCTGACAGACGCCATCTCTGACATCATCCTTGACATGAAGTGGTGCTGGTAGGTGTCCTGGGCCATCAGTCGGACCAGCTCGGGGTCTGCGAGGTCAGGTGTGGGTTTTCTACCTACCTGCGGGGTGAGGCTAACGACACCCTGCTGGGAAGGTAGCTGTGTTGGTTTTGCTTCCCCATTCCCAGTCTCCTTTCCAAGAGAGTGTTCTTGGTCAGGCCCAGATCACCTGCCACAGGGGGATGGTGTCAGGTGGCTGAGCCAAAGGAAGTGCAACGCTGTCTGACTGGACTTGGAGGACCAAGGTCTCTGCTGCCTACTCTCTCTGGTTCACCCTGTCCCTAAAATGGTAGGTGAGGCCTGGGGGAATCTGCCCTCCGTTCTCAGGGAGAAGGAGGTCCTCAGATGAGGGAGGGAAGTAGAGGAGGAGTTCAGGGCCTCAGGTCACAGGAGCAGGGAGCCTTGAGTTTGGGTTTGAGGCCACAGGTGGCTAGAGAAATGAGCAAGGCAAGGTACACTGCCTGGTCCTCCCTGGGTGGGAAGAAAGCAGTCTGTTTCACGTCCTTCAGTCAGTCTCTATCTGGGATCAGATGGTGGCAACAAGAGGGTCTTGGGTTTTCAGGGCCACCTGGGGTTTCAGGGTCTGGAAGAGAGTACCCTGAGTTAGCCTCAGCTCTGCCTATTAGTAGTCGTGAGACTTGGGGCAAATCACAACCTTTTTCTCCATTTCATATGCACCCTCTCACTGCGGGAGTAAGATATTCCTTGCCAACTAATTGTGTGATTTACCATTAACATCCGTACAAGCACGTGGTTATGTCTGGCATATTCCGATATTCATCATCTGAGCCTCAGGGAGCTGCTGCTCTGCTGGAAGTCAGGACGTTGGCTGTGCAGTGTGTCTTGTTGTGAAACGTCTCCCCCTGTGCTGCTGTTAAACAGGGTGGATTGTGACGGGGTGATATGTAAGCAAGAGGGGATCTTCCGGGTGAACTGCATGGACTGCCTGGATCGCACCAACGTGGTCCAAGCCGCCATCGCACGCGTGGTCATGGAGCAGCAGGTGACAGGGAGCCCTGGGGTGTGGGTGCTCTGGGAGGTGTGCCCTGGGACACACAGTGCACAGGGAAATTCTCACTTTTAAATGTCGTCTGTTTGTTTTTCACATGTCAAGAAAAGACTTCCACAGCTAAAGTCTTGGGCCAATAGAACACCGAAAGAATACGTCCTTATCCTTATGTTTAGTTTAGCGGTTGTATCGGCATATAAGCACACATCATACAATGGGTAGTTGGGTCATCTGAAGAAGAGTCGTGCAGTCATCGCCACACTCCACTGTCTCCCTTGCGCTCTTTGTTATTAAACATCCTTCTTGCGTGAGCGCTTCGCAGGCTCAGGCTTCTCTAGAAGCGGAATCAAGTGGCGTTTTCTGGAGTACAGTACTTCGTTCAAGAGCGCCAGCCCTGCGCTGATGTGTCTGTAGGGGGGCCCTGTACAGCCATTCACCTGTTTTCCTGGGTTCCAAACCCACGCTTCCCAAACACCGACCCAGATCCTGGTTAGTGTGTGTTGCCATCTAGTCGACTCCGCCCAGGGGGACCCCGTGCATGCAGAGAAGAGCCGTTTCCTAGAGCTTTGAAGGAACTGACCTTCCGGATGCAGATTGCTGGACTGTTTCTGCCAAGGAGCCTCTGGGCGGGACCGAACCACTATTGAGCATTCTACACTTAGCACGCCCAGGACCCCTTGCAACCCCTCTCCTGTGTTCTCTTCTGAATGCTGTGCCTGGGCTCTGCATCCCACACATCTGCTCCTCAAATGCTGCCGGGAGGGCCTGCTAAAGGGAGATCAGCTGGCAAGGGGGAGAAAGCGACAAGACACCGCCCCCTTGGGGGTCCTGCAGTCGGCACTGCCCTCTGTGGGCTCGTTGGTTGCTCGGCACCTCAGAGTTAGCCCCTTCCTGGGTGCCTCCACCCTAGGAGTCCCTGCTGCATCCTGTTGCAAGGCATAAAAGAGACCCTTTATGTAAAGGCCCTTAGAACCTGGTCTTGTTTCATGAGCACGTACTACTCTGCTGCTATTAATATTGTTTCCGTCTTTTGTAATACTTCGTTTCATTTCATAAAACTCACTGCCATCACACGCATGCTGACTAGCAGTGATCCTAGAGGACAGGATAGTTTCTAGAACTGTCCACCTGTACAGGAGGAGAAAGCCATCTCTCGCCCATGGGTGACTGATGGCTTCAAATGGCTGACTGTGTGCTTAACCGCCCCACTCGTAACCACTATGCTGCCGGGCTCCGTAGGGTTGCTTCGTAGGCCGAGACAGTGTAATCCCGTAGAAATGATGCCCAGACAGCATAATGTCTCCTTCAGCTATAGTAATCCATGAAGCGGTCTTTGGCCAGCACCTACGTTTTAAAAAGCCTGGTAACATCACTGCTCGTTTTTACAGTATTCACTCGTGTCCGATTGCGCTTCGTTCTCCTGTGGCATGCGTTTGGGGACAGTGGGGCCCGGGCTCCCCTGCAGTTAATCTTCCCATGTGTTCATTTCAGCTGAAAAAACTCGGCGTGATGCCCCCGGAGCAGCCACTGCCAGGGAAGTGCAATCGGATTTACCAGATCATGTGGGCCAATAATGGCGACTCCATCAGTAGGCAGTACGCTGGGACAGCCGCGCTCAAGGTAAACGCCGTCTGTGGGACGCAGAGTAGCTGTGCTTTTGTGAGACGCCGTTTGTGGGATGCAGGTTTCAAAGTGGATTTGCTTTTGCGAGTCTGGACTGCAGATGGTGCCTCCTGGTCATTGATACCTTTCTGGAATCTTCCACTAAGGCAAGGGCACATGTTCCCACAAGGCCCTGGTCAGGCAGCTGAAGCAAGCCATCCAGGAGACCCCAGGGAGAGGCGAGGCTGTGTGGGGCAGGTCTGTCTGCCCTGGCCTTATGAAACCAGAGCTGCTAGTCTGTCAAGGGCGATCTGGGATTCTCTGCAGAAAGGGTGGTTTCTTCAGCTCCACTCAGACACAGCAAAGGGTGTCCTCTGCGTTGGCCGCCCTGGGCCTGTGGTGCCTCCTCCTGGGCGAGTCCACTAGCACCGGTGACTGAGATGTAGCTCCCCTGGGCCTGCTTCCTCCTCTCTAAGTTGGGGGTGTCGGCCTGTGTGCTTTAGAAGGCTCTTGCTGGGTTACGGGTTAAGGTGTTGAGGGGCTTCAGAATAATCCCCGGCACAGAGTGAATGCCCAAGAGAGGTTTTTAATTTTTCTGGTGGTTATTGATAAAGACTTTGAAGGTCCTAGAGAGCGAATCCTCCAGAACTTTCCATTAACTCTCCAAAGAGAGTCCCTGGTGCTAAACCTCTCCCTCTGTTGGGCACTGGGAAGCAGTTGACTTAGTTCCAGTTCGGTGAATGTTCCTTTTCTTTTAAAGTAACAATTCATTTGAGGAAACTTCTTAAATGGCAATTTTACCCTCATGAGATCAACAGGTACCAGATAGGCCATCGTTTGGTCAAGTAATAAGAACCCCAGAAATAGAGCTCGCCCGGCGGTCCCGTGGATCTGTGTCTTGCTTCAACAGTGTTTGAACGGAACAGACCCGGCGACTCCCTGCCTCCAACCTTCCGCCGCGCTCCAGTTTCCTCTCGGAAGTAACTTCGGGACCATCTGCTTGGGACCAGCCCCTCTTCTTGGGACCAGCGAACACTTTTATTCGGCGTGTGGTGACCTCCAAACCGACGCAGCATGAGCTCTCAAATCCTTCAGAATTATTCCGCCGTCTGGTCAACCTGCACCTGCGGGCCTCTTACACCTACCTCTCTCTGGGCTGCTTTTTCGACCGCGACGACGTGGCCTTGGAAGGCGTGGGGCACTTCTTCCGCGAGCTGGCGAAGGAGAAGCGCGAGGGGGCCGAGCGTCTCTTGAAGCTGCACAACCAGCGCGGCGGCCGCGCCCTCTTCCAGGATGTGCAGAAGCCATCCCAAGATGAGTGGGGTAGAACCCTGGACGCCATGGAAGCTGCCCTAGCCCTGGAGAAAACACTCAACCAGGCCCTTCTGAACCTGCACGCCCGTGGGGTCCACTCACGCTGACCCCCATCTCTGTGACTTTCTGGAGAACCACTTCCTGGACAAGGAGGTGAAACTCCTCAAGAAGATGGGCGACCACCTGACCAACATCCGCAGGCTGGCCAGCCCCCAGGCCGGGCGGGCTGGGCGAGTATCTCTTCGAGAGGCTCACCCTCAAACACGACTAGGAACCTGCGGCGCCGAGCCTCCTGAGAGGGGCCCTCTGCCGGCCTTAGCCCCTCTGCCTGAAACTGCCCCGCGCCAGCCACAGCGCCACCGCCCTGGAGCCCATCCCCCAAGCCGGGACCAAATGGAAACAATAAAGCGTCCTTTTACACCAGAAATCTTTGTTAATTAAGGGAAGTGAACTTTAGAAGTGCTTGGATAAGTTATAGTTTAAAGGGAAAGACAGCAAAACTCGGGGGAGCTGGAATTGGATGGGACTGCCCTGTTGGCGCAGTGGGTGAGGTGTTGGGCTGCTAACCACAAGGCCAGCAGTTCGAAACCACCAGCCCCTCTGCAGGGGAAAGATGAAGATTTCTACTCCCATAAAACATGACAGTCTCAGAAACCCGCAGGGGCAGTTGGACTCTGTCCTAAGGGTTGCTGTGAGTTGGCAGTGACCCCAGTTTTTCCAGGTCTCCCCAGTGTCCACCTTTCACAGGGTATAGTCTTCCCCCCTTCCTGTCACTACTGGTGGGAAGGTTCAGCGCCTCCTTCTCTGAGCGGTTTCCACCTTACCACGCTTCTGGCTTTCACGGGCTTCATTGTACTTTTCATACTTGTATTTTAAGCTTCTTCGGAGTCAGAAACCATCTTTCTCTTCTTGCGAGATTGGTATTGGCAGCTGCTGCCAAGGCAGCCCTACCCGTGACAGCTCCACGCACAATGGAAAGGACGGTGGCCGGTCCCGTGACATCCCCGAGATAGGGTGTGGGTCCAACGGTGGTGATCCAGTAGTTGATCTTTGGCAGGAGATTGCCAGGACTTTCTCCCTAGTCCGACTGTCTGGAACCTGCTCTATTGGCACCTGTTCAGTGTCATAGCTGACGGGCAAGCCTCCACTGCGAGGGGTGGTTGCTGTGTCAAAGCCCAGGTCTGCCACCTAGAGACAGCACCCTGCCACTGAACCCCGGTGGCCTCTCCTGGAGCAGGTGCCGCTCATCCAGTCCAAGCGTTCTGAAGTAATGTCTATTTGTGTGTGTTCATGATTGCCTTTTATGATCAGTGTCTGTATGGTTTTGATCTTTACTTCTCTTTGATGGTGGGAAACCTTACATTCAAATGTACAGATTTCTTTCACCAGGTAGTACATAGGACTAGCAATAAGCTCTATGAAGGAAAACAAAAAACATGATTGTAAGTTAACTTGGATATGTTGTAAGCTGGGGACCCCCAGTGTAATAAGTCCTGTGATGGACCTAATGAATCGTCGGCTTAGCGCAAGGCTTCTTTCTAAGATTGCCTTGTACAGAAGGAATGGGGTTGCAATGAGATGAGAGACAGGGTGCCTTCCTGACCTTCGATTATAGGCGCCACCTCTCTGGGACTTGCTCTGGCATCTTTGTTGGGAAAAGCAAAGGAAACAAAACCCTTTCCATCTTAATTGGATCATTCTCCGTGGAATGGTAATGTGCAGCAATGAATGGCAAGCTCTAGGTGTGATCGAGCAAGTTCTGCCTACACACACACACACACACACACACACACACGTTAAATCCCTCTTGTAAACTCTGGGCAACTGGCCCGGCTTTTCCTGCCACAGAATGTTGTGGCTTGAGCATCTTTCTGTTGTTTTCGGTGTTGATGATGTGAGATGGGTCTTCACATGTGAACCAGAGAGGCTACGGGGACCCCCAGGAATGGCTTTACCCGAGCAGATCGCCCAGCCTGGAGACTTGGTGCCACAGGTAGCACAGCTAATGATTTGACACAAATGGGTCACAGTCACATGCGGGGAGGCAGCTTCATGAACTACACCACTTGGGAATTAAGAAAGGTTGCAGGGGCCCAGAGACTTCTGGTCCTGAGCAGAAAGCTCACCACTGATCTGGGCACATTCTTGCATTTTGATGAATTGTCACAGTGACTCTTTCCTTGACAGGGTGACTTCACAAGGACCGGGGAAAGGAAGTTGGCGGGAGTCATGAAAGACGGCGTCAACTCAGCAAATCGGTATTACCTGAACCGGTTTAAGGATGCTTACCGGCAGGCCGTCATAGGTAAGGCAGAAACACCTCCCTTTCCTAAAATCCATTACACTTTCTGTAACTAACATCTTATAAAAGCCGCCTTTAGTAATAGAACTCATAGGTTTTGTAGTTCTCTTCTGTTTCTATAATGAGCATCTTACTCAAAGCAAATCCACATCTCACTAGATTCCTGTTTGGCGAGTCTTTTGGGCTGTAGCAACAAAGAGCCCACCGTGTCTGTACAGACTTGTCCATTTACTGCCCATAAAGGACAGCCGAGTTGAGGGTCCTGGTGTTTGGAATAAGGTACCTTAAAGCCTCACCACCTGAAACCCCATATTCCATGTATTTTCCCATTTAGCAAGGGACGGAACGAGATGGTTTAAAAATCAGACAAGGTACATATATTTATAGGTTAAGTATTAAGGTAGCAGGTAGACACTGGGCTTCTATGTAAGTACTCCCTCAACCCAAGAACACTTTGTTCTAATAACCTGGTATTCTGTGATGCTCACCTTCCCAACAAGATTGCTGAAGACAAAATGGATGCATAAGCAAATGTGTTGAAGAAAGCTGATGGTGCCGGGCTCTTATATAGCATCTGGAGTCTTAAGGGCTTGAAGTTAAACAAGCAAGCCACCTAGCAGAGAAGCAGCAAAGCTCACATGGAAGAAGCACACCAGCCTGTTTGATCATGATGTGTTGGGATCGGGTATCAGGCATCAGAAGACCCAAAACAAACAATCATATCAATGCAAACGAGGGTGGTCGGAGTGAAGACCCAAAGGCCATCTGTAGACAATTGGACATCCCCTCACAGAAGGGTCACAAGGAAAGGATGAGCCAGGCAAAGTGCAGTATAGCACAGATGACACATACAACATTCCTCTAGTTCTTTAGTGCTTCCCCCCCACCCCAACACTATCATGACCCCAGATAAGAGTTTTCGACACACGGAATCCAGGACAGATAAACCCCTTAGGAACAATAACAGGAGTAGCGATGCCATGAGGGTAGTGGGGAGGTGGGGGAATATGGGGAAGAATGGAAACTGATCGCAGTGATCGATGTATGACCCCCACCCCGCCCCCGAGGGGGACAAGCAACAAAAATGTGGGTAAGGGAGACAGCAGATGGTGTAAGACATGAAAATAATAATTTATCATTTATCAAGGGGTCATGAAGGTGGGGGTGGGGGGAGGGGAAAAAGAGGAGCTGATACCATGAGCTCAAGTGGAAACGAAATGTTTTGAAAAGAATGATAGCAGCATGTGTACAAATGTGCTTGATATAATTGATGCAGGAATTGTTATGAGAGCTCTAAGAGCCCCCAATAAAATGATTTCTAAAAAAAATCAGGAAAGGTGTCCATCAGGTTGAGACCTTGACCATAGTAATTCAGTCTGCATGCCGAACTTCATGAAGAAGAACACGCCATCGGGATTGGACAGAGATTCATCAACAACCTGCAACATGCACGTGACTCAACCTTGTTTGCTGCCAGTGAAGAGGACCTGACACATTGACTGTGAGCACGGACGCCTGCAGCGGTCAGGATGGATGACACCTCCATGTAAAGAAAGTCAGACACCCCAACCAGGCCAACAGACAACCTCGTGACAGAGAGAACACTGACGTCCTCCCAGATGTCGTTTTACTTGGGTCCACACAATACTCGTGGAAGTAGCAGTCGGTTAGGTGGAGAGAAAATGTTCTGAGAATGATGAGGGCAATGAATGTACAAATGTGCTTTATACAATTGATGTATGTATGGATTGTGATAAGAGTTGTATGAGCCCCTAATAAGACGATTAAAAAAAAAAAGAAAGTAGCAGTCAGTGGTCAAACGATGTATCTCATTGGGCACATACATCCACCAAAAGCCCTCTTGAAAGTGTTAGCACAGATGTTCCTGTGAGGGCTAAGGTGCATCTGACCCCAGCTGTCATGCTTCCAGCCATCTCACATGCACGTAGCAGCTGGATGGAGACTCAGGAAGGCTGCAGAACTGGTGTATCTGGATGATGGTGCTGGTGAGGAACGTTGATGAGGCCACAGGCTGCCAGAGAACCAACAAACCTTACCTGAGAAAGGAACATGGCGAGACTTTACCTCTCAGACTCTGGACATGTTGTCAGGGGACTCACCCACTGCCATTGAGTCAATTCTGACTCACAGCGACCCTACAGGATGGTAGAACTGCCTTGGTTGGGCTTCTAAAAATATAAATCTGTATGGGAATAGAAAGCCTCATCTTTCTCCCAAGAAGTGCCTTGTGGTTTTGAACTGCTGATCTTGCGGTCAGTTGTCCATAGTAAGGGGGGCAAGATTGACACCATGACCGCAACAGTAGAGCTCAAACCTAACAGTTCTAAGGGCAGTGCATGGCCGGGCAGTATGTTGCTCTGTTGTATAGAGGGTGCTATGACTCAGAACCACTCGATGGCCCCGAACCGCCCTGGCAATAATGCTGGGCAGCACACATCCTGGCTGCAGCTGGATGTATTCATGGTTTGATATCTGGGCCCAGAGATGATCCTCACCAACACTTCACATTTTTAGAAGTAAGAAAGGGTTGATTGCCCAGGAGAATTAATGCCTTGGCATGAGTTACATTTAATTTCCATGAAAGTGTTACTTGGAAGGATGAAAGTAAAAGCAGAATGTTCTAGGGTATCACCAATCGTCATACACCTGACTTGTGGACCCTCAGAATCTCTTTTTAAATCCTACTTTTTACTAGATTACGTAGCACAACTGAAGCAGAGGACAGTGTGTGTGTGTGTGTGTGTGTGTGTGTGTGTGTGTGATTTGACAGGTCTGATGTAGAGGAACCCTGGTGGTACTGCAGGTAAGTGTTTGGTGATTCTAACCCCTCTCGCATGGGAGAAGATGAGGTGGTCTGTCTCCACAGATGACAGCTTGGAAAACCCTAGGGGCTGGTCTGTGCTCTCCTGTCAGGGTCGAAATGCCTTTGAGTTAAAATGGGCTTGCGAGCCAAAGCTCTGGTTTGAGTAATGAAGTTTGGGTCCCATGTAAGGTATCGACTGTTGCCAGGTAATTAGATTTTAGTAGTTTACTAAAGGGAGATAAGCTATCTTGTTTCTGTTGGTTAATCTAGCTAAATCAGCTAACATGGCAGAGGAGACTCAGATTCTGTCTGTCTGTCTCTCAGTTTGGCTGTCCCTTGTGTCTGAGCCACCTGCTTTGGGGGCGGGGGTGGGGTGGGTATTGAGATGCCTGGTTTGTGCCCCTCCCCCGAGAAGAATTTATTTCAAAGGATGGCACTGAATCTGCAACTTCGAGAGAAGGATATATCTGACCAGAGCACACAGGAGCAGATG